TGTGTAGTGAAACTGACTATAAAAAAGCATTTCATACCCCTCCATACAGAACGCCAAAATGGGGCTTTCTGATTCTTCTCAAAGATGTTTCATTACATAGAAACCTTTGAGAGGAGCCTACTATAAATAAGTATCTTATCCCTTTTCCTCCCCCACAGAAAAGCCAGCGGGTGAAACTGAAAGCACTCCTACATTACTTTAGGAAAATAAGTGATACAACATCTACAGGTACTCTCACTTTCTCTAGAAAGGTTAGTATTGCTACCTACATTTTTTTCTTGAATCATGGTCTGAAAATATTCCTAATTTCTACCCATATTCATTGTTTAAGTTTTGAACGACTGAGTACATCCCATTTGTATGCCCGTTTATATTCATTTTTTAAACTTTTAAAGGACTGAATACATCCCGTTAATATTTTTTATGATTAAAGTTGATTAGGAAAATCTGTTGATTAGTTGGGTGACAATAGAAATTTATATCATCAAAGAGTAAGGAATATTATACAAAAAGATATATATATTAGTCACGATTATTTGTTTTATTCTCGTTTTATAAATAGGTTACACCATCATAATCATCCCCACTACAACATAACATATTAACAATCTACATAAACACCATTAGTAATACAGCTACAAAGATACATAATAATTAATACGAAAATATTCCAAAATATCCTGACCTTTTGATTACAAACAGAGATCTATATAATATCTATTCTTAAGGTAAAACAAATTCGTCTAATCTACTTTACATTATTATTATTGTATATGGCTAAACAACGAAGACAATACAGTAAAAACAACAACAATAATTATCATTTCATAGCTGTGGAAAAAGAAGATTAAAGATAATCATTTATAGATGTGGAGCAGAAGAAGAGATTAAAAGTAATTTCCACTTTAAAATAGAACATTAACCCACATCTCTAGGAGAGGCCCGGACTGATGCCAAGTTATAGATTACTCTTTTTATATATATATATCATTGAGACTATAATAATGCTTCAGTGTGTGTGTCGATGGGCTGCGCGACTACATAGAGACCGCGAGGTTAAATGTAGATTGGAAAGAGTTTCGACTTTCCAACATGTTGAAGAGATAATGGGTATATTTTTGGAAGGAGAGTAATGAGAGAATAAGCGTTGAGTTGGTGAGAATTTAGTTGATGATAAAAGAATGGATATTTATAGAAAATATACTCTCTCTCTCCCCTCTCTCTCTCTCTCTCTCTTCTCTCTCTCTCTCTCTCTCTCTCTCTCTCTCTCTCTCTCTCTCTCCTCTCTCTCTCTCTCTCTCTCTCACGCTCACGCACTTTCACACATACACGCTCACGGACACGCCAACGCACACGCACGCACGCACCTCCCTCTCTAACACACACACACACACACACACACACACACACACACACACACACACACACACACACACACACACACACACACACACACACACACACACACACACGCTATTTTCCCAAATTTATTTAATCAACTATTCCCCTCAAAATCGATAAACTAATAAATAAACTTTATTACATAAAAAATGGGAGTTACTATATTGAAATTAATCCTCATATTCCACAATATCATCGTTCTCGTCTTAATACTTTCAGATAATGTGTATTTACATGAAATAATAAAAGGAATTCAAGTCAGGACGAAATATTACGAGAACTCATTTATTTTTCTCTTCGACTAATACCCAGTCTTATGAAAAGGAATATGATTACTAGTCTCAAATAATATAAATTACATGATACGTCTATCAAATGGTACTTCGGAAAACTTTTGATTTATTTCAACTCCAGACACGCGAATAACACAAAATAACAGGTTTTGAACTGACAAAATAACAGGTACTAACTTATTATTATTTGAGAAGAAGATAAATCGAAGAAAAGAATGATAAACAGTAGAATAAATCAATATATATATTATTTTATGACTAATTCATCATCCTTCTGTTTAACGTGGCACTTTATTTCAACTCAAACACGCGAATAGAGCAAAATAACGTTCTAAACACAAAATAACAGGTTCTGAACTGACAAAATAACTGGCACTAACTTATTACTCTTCGAATATAAAAGAAAAATCGGAAAAAAAGTGATAAACGATAGAATAAAACATGTATATCATTTTATGACCAACTCCTCTTCCTTCTGCTTAAAATTGCACTTGATTTCAACTCCAAACACGCGAATAAATAATAACGTCTTAAACAAAAAACAAAACGAAAAAAACGAACTAATTATTATTTGAGAATTAAAGAAATCGAAAAACAAACAAACTGATAAACGACAGAATAAAATCTTATATCCATTATTTTATGCCTAGCTCCTCTTCCTTCAGCTTAAAATGGCACTCGACTGAGGACTCTATACTCCTTCGCAGGTCATGAGCAGCAAGGAATGACGTGAAGGACTGGATGAAATGCGAGGCCGCCCTCTGCCCCGTCGAAATCCAGCACGAGGGACGCCTGGAGGACACCCACCCTCCCCCCTCCTGTCCTGCTTCACCTCGCCTGACGTGGCTCAGCCTGCGCTCTCCTCCGCGAAGTCGCAGGTCAGTGGGGTCGAGGAGGAGGGGAAGCGGTTGGGGCTCTGGTTCTTGGGGGGATGCGTTGGGTCGTCGTGGTTTTTTCCCCTATTTTGGGTTGGGTAAACAATAAAATTGTTAAAATAAAAGAGCAAAAGGAGAAGGTAGTTGATTATTTATTTATTATTATTTTTTTTTAATGAATGGGTTGGGTTCTTGTGTTTGGTAATAAAAGTAAATTGTAAAAAAGATTATCTTGATAAAAAGAGCACAAAAGTAAAAAGTAGTTGAGTTTTTTTGCCATGTTTGTGTTGGGTTCTTGATGAAGAGAATGAAAATAAATTGTCAGAAAATGATCTTAATGGAAAAGAGTAAAAGGAAAAGGTATATATTGTTCTGGATTAGGGTTTTGAGAAGGATAATAAAATTGTATTAAAAAATCTTGATAAAGGAAAATAGTAAAAAAAATATATATTATTTTGCACTGGGCCATGGAGAAGGAGAATAAAGTAAAAAAAAATCCCAATAAACGATAGAGCCAAACATTCTATATATTATCTTATGACTGACTCCTCTTTCTTCTGCTTCAGCAAGTCTGTGCAATGCTTAGTTACCCGGAAATGCTAGTGTCTTCGGTTTTCGTTGAGAGGCTCGAGGACAACGAGGCTTTGCAGGTCATGGGTGCCTTGAAGACCGCCACCGTGTCCAATCTGAAGACTCGACCCACGTTACCTTCAGAAATGTAAGTCGACCTCGTCACAATCGGGCTCGTCACTGTTGACCTCGTCACTATCAGCCTTGTCATTGTTGACCTTATTACTGTCGATTTCGTCACTATCGACCTCGTCACTGTCGACCTCGTCACTATTTCAACTCGTTCTGTCACTGAAGGGGTTGATAGCACAAGCTTTTGTCATGAAATAGTGTCTACGATTGGTACTTGTGGTGATGGGTTGATGAGGTGCAGATTTGAAAACGACTATGCAGTAGGGGTGATGCTAGGTTTCAGAGTTAAAATCATCTCGATTTGGTTTTTGGCTTCGTACTTAACTGGTTTCGTTGTTGGTCTATTTTCCTTGAATCTGTCGCCATCTGCACCAATACGAATATTTATGGATTATTTTCCGCTTCTTTACATACATGGTCTTGGTCTAGTATGCATATCCACCCATCACCATAAGTATCAATCATAGACACCATTTCATGACAAAAGCCTGAGCTATCAACCCTTTCAGTAATAAGGGATCCGATCGCATTTATAGAGCGATCGGGGAGAGAAAGTGTAGGAAGATAGAGGATTCGATAATGTTGAACTATAGATGAATGACGCTTTTGTATCTGTTGTGCTTATTCATTTTCATTGGTCTTATCTAGTTACTAATCCTCCCAAGGTTAATTTAAGGCAGGAACCTTCACGACCTCATATTCATCTCACCTTCCGTGACACTTCTGAATCTAATACTTCATCACGGACACGAGTTAAAATCCTTAATTGAATTCTTTCTTAGTATGTATATGGGTTTCGTTGTCTCATCCTTGGCCAGATGAATTCTCACTCATAGATGCAACTATGTGGATATAAAGTTTAGATCAGGAATTTCATAAGCACGTGTATCTTCTTAAATTACAGTTATGTGCGAGGTTATAAAATATCGAAGACTTTTCATTACAAGGAGAACAGTCTCACCTATTTTATCCTTCCTTACAATATAACTTTTTATGTATATATTTACAAAATAGCTTGCTTTTGTGACATATTTCTCTCTATATATATACAAGTAGGCCTTCTTATCAGAGTTAGACCTAGACCTTAATGAAGAACAGATAACTTTTTTTTACATAGCAAACAATCTTTCTCCCGTGGAGCGTTGATCCTAATGTCTCGCCATTGACATCTTAGAACACGACCCCACCTGACCTGATCCACGCCCTTATGGATGCAGATGACTACCGCCAGTCAGAGGTCCTGCAGTACGAGGAGATAAATGTTCTCAGGGAGTTAAACAAGGCGGTGCTGGCCTTCGCTCAGCCTATTCCCGAGGTTCCGACGAGCTCCTTCTCGGATATTATTTCTGTGTCGAGGCAGATCTCGGAGTGCAGCGCCTCTCCGCCGAGGAAGTGAGTACCTGTTGTTTTGTTAGTTTAGAACCTGTTATTTTTGTTATTTAGGTAACTGTTATTTTTGATAATTTATAACCTGTTATTTTGTTAGTTCAGAACCTGTTATTTTTGTTATTTTGGTAACTGTTACGTTGTTAGTTTATAACCTGTTATTTTGGTAACTGTTACTTTGTTAGTTTATAACCTGTTATTTTGTTAGTTCAGAACCTGTTATTTTGTCATTTTAGTATTTGTAATCGAATTGCCTGAGGCATCGGAACTGTTGTGAATATTACGGCAAGTTTCAAGTTAACATGCAACTGTTTTACGTATAGTATATAAAAGTTTACGTACTTTCTAGACTAAGTTATGAAAATCCGTCATTAGAGATTCTTTAAAAGCTGTTTCCTAATCGCAAAATTATATCCTGAATAACCAATTTGTCTTTCTAAACAGCTACCAAACTCCTATATCTTCCGGGTCGTCTTTGGACCAGCATAAAGAAGACACGAGTCTGGAAGGAAATAAAAAGAAACAGAGAGAAACAGATAAAGGTCCTCCTCGTGAAAGCCAGAGACAAGGAACAGCAGTGTCTAAAGAATACGAAAGATCGAAACCCTTGAAAATCGGGAAGGTGAAAAAGCGAGTGGAGATAGTCGAGGACAATCGGGCTGTGAAAGCGAATACCTGTGATATCCCTGACAGTGATATAGTCAGACCACCCAAGCCTAACGTAGACCATAAGCTGAAATCCCTCCTGACCAAAGAGAGACTCAAAAAGGAGAAAGAGCAGGTGCGAAACGCGGTCCCGGGAGGAGAAGCTAAAGGAAACGTGAGCGAGCAGGACTTCACGGGCAGTCCTCCGTCAGCGGGCTTCGTGACGGCTCCGACGACGCTGAAGAGACGCCCCAGAAGAAAGAAGGATGTCGGTTCCAAGGGCTGTGACGACGCGGTGCCCCAGATGACCGTCCAGGCAGAGAGGGTGACCTTTGCGGGGGCGCAGTGTCGCAAGCCGCCCACGGAGGAGCTGCCAAATAACTGGGAGGAATCAGACGAAGAGGAAGAAGAAACTACGAGATTGCTGAACAGGGTGATGCGCGCCATTCAGCGGTTGGAGCAGGAACGCCCGGATTTGGTCGAGGAAGTGAAGCAGGATGCCCAGCAGAGCTTGAGTTCTAAGTCGCTTCCTAAGTCATTGGTTAGTCTCTTGAGTTCTAAGTCACTTGGTAATTAATTCTAGGTTCTACGGCATTTCCTAGGTCAGTGGTTAGTCAGTCTTTAAGTTCTGTCACTTGGTTGGTAATATAAGTTCTGTCACTTGGTAATATAAGTTCTAAGTCACTTGGTTGGTAATATAAGTTCTGTCACTTGGTTAGTCTTTTTTCTAAGTCACGGTTGGTAATTCTAAGTTCCAAGTCGCTCTCTAGGTCAATGGTTAGTCGATCTTTTAAATTCTATTCCCAGAACATTGGTTATTAAATCGAAGTTCCAAGACATTTCTTTTAAGTTGTAAGTCACTTCCTAGATCAATGGTTAGTCACTCTTAGGACTTCCAAGTTACTTTATCGAGAGCACTGGTTGTCATTCTTTTAGGTTCGAAGGGATTTCCTAGAATGATTGTTCGCAATTCTGTTAAGTTCTAGGTCACTTCTTAAACCAATGATTTGTAAGTTTAAAATTGTGTCACTTCATAGATCATAGAATACATAATCGTATTTTTTTACATTTAGGAAAATTTATATTATGTTCTACCTTGTTAAACTATATATACATCACCTAAGACGTGTCAAATGATTTTATTGTCACTATTATTGTTTGTTTTTGTTATTATTATTATTATTATTATTACTATTATTATTATTATTATTATTATTATTATTATTTTATTATTATTATTATTATTATTATTACTGTTATTAGGCATTCAATTTTCTTGTTTATTTCAATTCATTATTTATTTTCCCTCATTACTCTCAGGGCAAACCACCGATCCCAGAAGGACGACCTCGACCTCTCATTGAAAAAGACAAGAAAGACCGAAGCCAAGTAGGAGAGGTTTCGGACAGAGCCAAGCGTCGCGTGGGCGTTTCGGGAGACGGGAGAAAGCTGTCTATTACGTCTCCTGTTCTGAGGAAATGCCTGCCGAGTCTATTCCGGACGAGGACCATTATTTCAGCGCCTGCGAGAGTCTGGATGGAGTCGAGGGTAAGGTCCGAGGGCTTTGGGAGGGAGGGGAGGGAGGAAGAGGAGAGAAGGGAAATTTGGTTCGTAGGTGTTCGATCCCCTTTTCGCTGGCTTTGTTGTTGTTACGGTTTAGGTGTTCGTTTTCTTCTCTCTGGCTTTGTTTAGTTAAAATGTCTCTTATACCTGTCAAAGTGTGATTTGAAAGAACACATGGATATGGATATACATGTTTACTAATATACGGACATGAACGCATGCATGGGATGTCAATTGCAGTTTTGATACAGTATTTTGGTGGTTTAAATGATTTTAAAACTATGCACAGCATTACCACGAACTCAAAAACATACCCTCGTAAATGAGGATTTCAAACTTCCTTTTAATTTCTATAATTATTTAAAAAATATATATATATTATTATTATTGTTTTTATTATGAAATTTTGAAATCATTGTCACGAACACAAAGGCATACCATCGTAAATAAGGATTTCAAACTTCCTTTCGATTGTTATTATTTATTAATTATTTTTATATATTCTATTTATAAATATATTTGTTATTATTTTATTTGTTATTTTATTTATTTATTATTTTATTTATTTTATCATTATCTGTTATTTTTATTTTATTATTATTATTTTTTATCTATTTTGAAATTCTTGCCCGAAC